ACCTGGTTTAGGGATTGGCTGGGTCAGCATGCTTATGCCTGGGTGGGAAACAGGAGGGAAGCCTGCGCGCTGTGCCCCGTGTGCAGGCCAACTGGAACTTGGGAGTTTCGTGTTAACTCCAGGCCCACTGATCAGACGAGGTTTCCTGTGCCTTGGCGCCTTCCTCAGTTATGTGGGATGAACTGACTTTAGTTTGTCAGCAGTCCAAGAGTTGGGCTGTGCTGGGTGCCGGGCAGCTACAGATGAAGGACACAGATGGCCTCAGCCCTGGAGCTCATGTTTCAGAGATGACAAGCATTCCTCCCCAGGCCACAGTAGAATGTAAGGGGGTGTATACCTGGTGGGGTCCCCCAAAGGTGGGCGCCATCCAGTGGCTCTGGTGAGAAGTACAGGGCTGTTGCCTCAAAATCACCTTTCCCCACCCTCTCTCTTGTCAAGGACTTGCTTCTGTGACCTTGAAAGCATGAGGTAGCCTCAGTGGGGTGGAGGGGGGGGGAGCGTATTCTCAGGGGCACCATGCTGGTGTCTGAGTTTTTCCGAAGGTCAGCGTGGCTCCTGTCCCTTTGGGGACCCCCATGGCAGGGTCCTGCTTCGGCCCCCGGCTCCAGGTTTGTTCCTCGCCCATGGCTTGAACTGCCAGGTGGACAGAACATCTCGTCTGGTCCAGCCCCGAGGCTCTTTCCATTCAGACACTGAGCCACTCTGGAGAGGTGTGATGTGGGTCAGTGACGTCTGGCCACAGGGGCTCCCCGGCCAGCGCTGGGAAAGTGACCAGCATGTCCCCCAGCTCAACTGCGCCAAAGGCCTCTTTTCAGCCCATGTCCCCAGTGCCACCGGTGTGAGGGCTTTCTCTTCTTCCCACACGCTGGGGGGGCCATGCAAGGGCTGCACCTGGGTTCCCTTTTAGCAAACGCGCTCTGAGGCTTATTTATGGTTTCCTTTGTCACTTGTGAACATTTTCAGTATCCCCCAATTGACACTTAACTGTGACTTATGCAAAAGAACTAACCCAAACAGACTCGTGAGAGCACATGCCTGCGCCTCCTAGAGGAAGCCCTCTCAGGTTTTGTGTGCCGGGCTCCATGACGCTGCCATGTTTTCTTCCTGCCTTCCCCATGGGGCCCGAGCTCCTCGTTGGTGGCAGGGAGCCAGCATTTTGTGGTAGTGTGTGTGTTGGGGGTGGTGACCTGATCCTGCAGGAGGGCATTGGCTACAACACTGATGTGCGTTATTGCATTCAAAACTGACAGGCATGGTCACACCTCTGGCTGGGACTGAAGGCTGAGGTCACCATTCAAGGAGGACAGAACCCAGTGTTAAAAGAGGCTTTGAAGCAACAGAAACAGGTCCTTGCCCCTCAGTAGGAGATGGGGGGTTCCTCCCCCCACAAGCACAAGGTGATCTGGAAGAACTCAATTTACACCCTTGGCTCCTGTGGGCTGGGGGATCAGCAGAGGGCGGGATAATCCCAGCTTCTGGAGCAGATGGTTTCTGACTACCGCTTGACCCAGTTCCCTCCCAGCAGATGACTGACAGCGGGGCTGACAGCTCTCCACCAGGCCAGCAAAGTGTGGACCCTCCTCTCAACCTCCTCTTCCCTCCTCTTACTAGCAAGGATGAGGTGACTTCTGCCCCTCCCAGAGCCCGCTCAATGAGTAGGACGCTGGATCTTCCCAAAGGTGTGGAGCCCCCCTCCCACTCAGCCCTATCCAGCCCCAGTGAGGCTCACAGTGAGAACGGTGGGAGCCAGACAGGCAAGGACGGCTGTTGTGAGGGTACTGGGGAGTGCGGGGTGCTTAATTCTTTACTGGCTTAAGGACTTATTCCTTCGTTCATTCATTCATTCACTCATTCAATCAACCAAGCATTAGTTCAATAAGCTGCCCTTGATTTGGCATCAGATGCAACCCATGAGACCTGGTTCTTGTCATCCAGGAGTCCAGGTCCCACAAAAGAGACAGATAGGTAAAGGGATAACAGCCAGGCACTGGGGCGAGGAGCCTAATATGGCAAATAACTCTTCAGGGCACAAGAGGGCCATGGTGAGCTTCACCAAGGAGAAGAGATGGGGCTGGGTCTTCAAGACAGAAGGAGTGCGCCAAGCGGTTGGTGGCTATGGTGATGGAAAGACCCAGAGAACCAGAGCTTGTGTGCCTGGTGGAGAGGCAAGCAAAGCCGCAGAGGTGGGGGCAGCCTGGTTCAGAGTCCTGCAGTGCCGAAGCACCTCCTTCCTGCCCAGAGACCACAGCCTCCATGGGCTGGGGGGATTGTGAAGGAGATGGGACCAGAGGCCAGAGCATGCTGTGTGGATGGGAACAGCAGAGAGCTGGGCTCTGGAAACAGCTCCAAGGAGGCAGAAGGGCTGCCATTGTGGGGACCCTCCTGGGACCCTGCTTCTGACTTCCTGTATCAGGTCCAATGTTGTCCCACATGGCCAAGCACCTTCAGGTCGGTTCCTCGGGTTGGGAGGGAGGGGGCGCTCGGCCTCCAGACTTGCGGGCCTCAGCGGGGCTGCTGTCCTGGCTGAGCTCCGCAGAGGCAGGAGCCGGCCTGAAGCTTGCTGCCGCCTGAAGCTTCCCAGCTCAGGGAGTGTGGGGAACGCTAAGCTGGACGCCACGTTCCAGCTTAAGTTCCCCCAGGTCCTGGGAAAGCCAGAATGACCTCCCATCCTGCTTCCTCCTCACAGTCTTGCCTGTTGAGTGGGTGGGGGTCTGGGCAGTAAGGGGATGGGGCAGCATGGTGTTCCTTGGCCTCAGGGTGCTGCACCCTGTGGGCACTGTCGTGCTACTCTGCACCCAGGTGGGGGCGTAAGGAAGGACAGAAGGAACCGCAGCCCTTGGGGTTCTGGATGGGTTGGGTGTTCCGTGTTCACTGACATGGTCGCTTGGTATGGGCCACCCAAAAAACTATGCCTTAGAATCACAGTGTACAGGATTCTGTGAGGAGCGTGACCAAGATAACTTGTCTGGAGCTCCCAAGGTGTGACACAGGTGTTACTGTCCTCCCCCATGACAGGTGACGAGATAAAGACCAGAGAGGGTGAAGATGCCCCAAGGTCCCTCCTACAAGGCTGGCAGTGGCTGAGAGTCCACTGGAACCCGGGTTTGTCTGAGACCAGAATGGACTACTTAGGGCAGCGAGGCAGTGATGCCGGAGACCTCGTCAGCCCCGCTAGTCCTGGGGCTCAGAGGCCTTCCTGCCGCGAGGCCGGTTCCCCACACAGTCCAGGATTTTCCTGGGACTTGGAGCCGGCAGAGGCTGCGGCTGGCCAGGCCTCCAACGGCCACCGCCTCCTCTACCCCTCCAGCCCGCGGGGGCCCACGCCTCGTTCAGTGCTCGGGCGGCCCGGGGCGCTTGGCTGGGGCACTGCAGCCCGGGAGCGACATCCACCCGCGGAGCCAGCCCGCGGCCGCACCGCCGCCCCCGCCTCGCGAAGCTCGAGAAGGTGCACCCCGGCAGGGACGGGGGCGGACACGGCGGCGAGTTGCTTCTCCCGGTCGCGGAGGGCGGGGGCAGGGGCTAGGGCAGGGCCTGCGCGATCGCGGGGAGCGGGCAAGCACCGGGATCCTGGGCCGGGAGCCCGTCGGTGTCGCCCGCCACCCAGCTGGGCGAGGGTCCGGGGCGCCCACGTGGTGGGAAAGTTTCGAGACAGCAAAAGTGGCCGGGCATTGCGGGGGTGGGGGGGGGAGGGGAGCGGGCCGGCTCGCCCCTCCTTCCAGCGAAGGCAGAAAGGAAAAAAGCGGGGGGAAGCGGGGGTGGGCGTGGGGAGCGGGCGGCAGCGACTTGAACAGATTCCGCCCCCCCCCGGGGGGGCAGCCGGAGCGGGGAGGCACGGACAGCCTCCTCCCTCATGGCCAGGACGAAGAGACTAGCTCACCCCCCCCCTTTTTTTTATGCCAACGTCTATCTCAACGCGCGCGCACATACGGAGATTGTACGGCTTTTTTTTCCCCCCCTTGGGAGAAAAAACGAGGAGAGTAAAAGAAGAGAGGGCAAAGAGAAGAACTCCTAGGCAGGCTCTGCACTGTGTCGCGGCCGGGCGCAGGGACGCGGCCGCCACCCTCCCGCTCTCCCTCGGCCCTGCGGCGTGTGCCAGTGGGAGAGCGAGCTAGGGCACCCGCACCCGGGAACGCTGCGAGACTTTTAGACGCTCCAACCGACCTCGCCGCCGCTGCAGCAGGCAGGAGAGAGAGGGGCGAGAAGGGCCCAGCCTCCACCTCGCCTTCCTCGCACGGCGCCCCGCGCCCGCCGGCCCGCGCAGGCAGGCGGAGGGAGGGAGGCAGCGAGAAGGCGGGCGGAGCGGAGGCCCCGGCGGAGCGCGCAGCGGCCGGCCCGCCCGCCGGTGGATGCGGCGCCCCGGGAGCCTAGAGACAACTTTGCCGTGTGACGCGCCGGGAGGACTGCAGGGCCCGCGGCCGGGGGCTCCGCGCCGCCTCTGAGCGGGCCCGCGCGGCCAGCGCTCCCCGGCGCTCCCGCCACTGCGCTCGCCCCGCTCCGCCGCCCGCCCGCCGGCCCGAGGCGAGGACTACCGGCCCGTCGCCGGCGGCCGCGGCCCTTCTTCGGCGCTCAGGTGCGAGCGCGGGGCCCCGCCGCAGCGCCCGCCGCAGCGCCGCGCCAAGCCGCGCCCGGCTCCGCTCCGGGGACTCCGGCGCCTTCGCTTCCGTCTCGGCCAAGTTGCGTCGACCGGCCCTTTCGCCACCTTCCCCGCGCGGCGGCCGAGGCGCCGCTGCCGCCGCTTTCGCTTCACCGGAGCTGGGGGCTGCGGGGCCCCGACGCGGAGAGGATGGGGGGAAGGCTGCAGATGCCGAGGCGCCCTGAGACGCCCGCGCGGCAGTGACCCTTCGGCCCCCTTCCTCGCCGGCGCGCCTCTCCGGCCCCCGCGGCCCTCGGCGCCCCTTCCCTGCCGCGCGGGAACCCCCGCGGCCCGGCCGGCCCCCTCCCCCTGCTAGCCGGCGGCGGCCCTCCCGGCGGGCGGGCGGAGGCCCGGGCGGGCGCGGGCGGGGGCGGGGCGGGGCGGCGCGCCGGGAGCCCGGAGCCCGGCCCTGCGCTCGGCTCGGCTCGCCTCGCGGCGGGCGCCCTCGTCGCCAGCGGCGCACCATGGACGGGCTGCCCGGTCGGGCGCTGGGGGCCGCCTGCCTTTTGCTGCTGGCGGCCGGCTGGCTGGGGCCCGAGGCCTGGGGCTCGCCCACGCCCCCTCCGTCGCCTGCCGCGCCGCCACCGCCCCCGCCGCCCGGAGCCCCCGGTGGCTCGCAGGACACCTGCACGTCGTGCGGCGGCTTCCGGCGGCCGGAGGAGCTGGGCCGGGTGGACGGGGACTTCCTGGAGGCGGTGAAGCGGCACATCTTGAGCCGTCTGCAGATGCGGGGCCGGCCCAACATCACGCATGCCGTGCCCAAGGCCGCCATGGTCACTGCCCTGCGCAAGCTGCACGCGGGCAAGGTGCGCGAAGACGGCCGTGTGGAGATCCCGCACCTCGACGGCCACGCCAGCCCGGGCGCAGATGGCCAGGAGCGCGTCTCGGAGATCATCAGCTTCGCCGAGACAGGTGGGTTGGTCCCACGGGCGGCCAGCTGCGGCCCTCGCTCCCTACCCCCTCTTCACTCTCTCCCACCCCCTTCTCCTTGCCCGTCCGGCCGCCCCAGCCAGCGCACCCTGGGGGCAACGCGGACTCTCGGCCCTGCCGCTCCCCTCTGGCCCTGTGCGCCCTGTCCTGGTTGCCGTCTTCTTACCCGCCTCCTCCCCCCCCCCCCCCCCGGCAGCATACCTCTTCCTGCTCCCCCGTCCCCGTCGCTGAACGCCTTGCCCTCCACCCCTGCTCTCTGAAACCCGGCCTCAGCGCCTCTGGGCGTGCATCCCCCTCCCGGCAGATGCGTGCGGCCCTGGCTCCGCGGGCACTTGCTTGGTGATTGCTTAATGTTTTTGTTTCCCACGATCGGAGTGTAGGCTTAGCAGTGTGGTTGGAGATGTGTGTGCTTGTTGATATCCGTGGGCCGGAGAAGTGTGTGTGTGTGTGTGTGTGTGTGTGTGTGTGTACGCGCGCGCGCGCGCGCGCGCCTGTGTGAGAGGCCCCGGGGCCGCTTCCATCGCCGGGCAGCGTGGGCTTGCCAGGATTGCTGAAGCCTCACTGGGGAGAGCTAGGCAACCTCTCTTCCGATTGTGTGGGCACCGGAATCGGGCGGAAGGCAGGCTTCTCAACAGGTCCCATCATTTACGCAGAGAAAGACGCGGCTCGGCTCGGGGGTCAGCCCGGTGCCTCTCGGCTCTCCTGGCAGCGGTAGCAGCCCCCTCGCCTGAGAGCCGCAGAGTTCGTAGTTAACAAAGGGTAGGAGTCCTTTCTGGAATTTTCTCCCGGCCCCGGATTGCAAATTTCTACCGCTGTCTAAATATAATAATCGAGAGACAGAAAATCTTTCAGAACTTTAAAAGAAGGAGGAAAATGTGCCCGCGCTGAAATGCTGCAAGTGCTTTCCACTCCGCTGTCCTTTTCAGGACTTGAATGAGCCAGGCTGGCTTTTGTGCCTGGAGCTCAGCCCCATTTGTGCGGAGGGGACTGCGGAGAAGGTCGCAGAGGGGGAAGCCCTGGTGCGGGCAGGGCGGGGGTGGGCAGGGAGCTTGTGTGTGTGGGGGGGGGACGCTTGTGTCACCAGGCTGAAAATGCCCCCCATCCTCCCAGGCAGCAGGCAGACGGTCCTGGTGCTGCCTGGGGATGAAAAGGGATGAAAAGTTTTGCATGGCCGGGTGTGGAGAAAAGCAGAGACAATCGGGCTGGTTTGTGCTTAGAAAGAAATGCATTGCTGTTTTAGCTGTCCGACCGAGTCAGGGAAAGCTCGACATGCAATTAGAGAGCTTGGATTAAAAGGTGCTTTGGGCCCCAGAGTAGAAATGTGATTCTGGAAGGTCGAGAAGGCCTTTTGGTCCTGGTGGCACAAAATGACAGCGGGGGCTGGTGTATTTCTGGTCCGTTTCACGGAGCCAGCTCTTTGACTTATAAATAACAGATTCAGGTCACAGGCAGCTCGTCCAAGACCAGCTTTTAAGGCTGCACTTTCCCCCATTTCAAAGTCAGATGTCAGTGTTATTAGAGGAGCCAGGCGAAGCCTGAGGAGGGGGCTGCAAGGCAGTGGTAGGAGGTTTGATAAAACTAGCCATGGTCACACAGTTGCCTTATTTGTTCTTCCTGGGTGGGTGGGGGGGGGAGAGGAAGAAGAAGAAAAAAGTACAGATTGCCAGAAGTCACTGAAATGTATCATGAGAGAGTAGTTGTGTCTAGGTTGGCATGGCCTATCTTCTTGTTTAGCAGAATTATGGAGGAAACTAACAAGGCAGTTCCCCCTTTTCCTTAACGATATTAATGTGCCCTTAATGGGGAGCCAGAGTCTCCCAAACAGAGTGGACCTCAAGTTTCAAGGCTGAAACTTGGAAATTGTCAGAAGCGAGGGCTGCACTTTGCAGCCTGCAAAGCACGTTCTTGTGTCAGAAATCTGAGCAGAGCTCGCTTGTTTGCCGTGGAGGTTCCACTGGGGGTTGGATCAGATCATGCTTAGGTAAACACTGGGAAGAGGCGGTAGGTGGCTCAGCTCGATTTTGCAATGCCCTAAGTTAACCAAAAAAACAAAAAACAAAAAACAAAACAAAACACAAAACAAAAAAAAACCCAACCTCTCTCCAGACACAACCCACCCTCAAATCCTCACGATCCTGGTTTTGTTTTTCAGATTTCACAGATACCCATAACAACTTGTTAAGATCTTGGCCCCCTGACAAGTTCCTCTGTTGAGCTTTGAGGCCTGACAGCCTGTCTCCAGGGAGCCCTGGCTGGGGAGAGGTGAGGCAGAATTTTAGAGGCCCCCCGGACCCTCCAGCTCCAAGCCGGTTGGGTGTTTCTCAATGGAAAGAGCTTTTCTCTGCCTCTCCCAGGTTGCACTCAGAGGCCCTGGCCCCAGGAACAGTCTTTCTGGTCAATAACGTTTTCCAGCTGTGTGGCAAGTTCGCATTCCAGCATCACGCCGCTGAGTGTCTTTCCCCATTGCCTCGTGTTCTTCTTGAATTAACTTGGCCTGCTCTCCCACTTCTCCGCAGATGGCCTCGCCTCCTCCCGGGTCCGTCTGTACTTCTTCATCTCCAATGAAGGCAACCAGAACCTCTTTGTGGTGCAGGCCAGCCTGTGGCTCTACCTGAAGCTCCTGCCCTATGTCCTGGAGAAGGGCAACCGGAGGAAGGTGCGGGTCAAGGTATACTTCCAGGAGCAGGGCCACGGCGACCGGTGGGACGTGGTAGAGAAGAAGGTGGACCTCAAGCGCAGTGGCTGGCACACCTTCCCACTCACCGAGGCCATCCAGGCCTTGTTCGAGCGCGGCGAGCGGCGGCTCAACCTGGACGTGCAGTGCGACGGCTGCCCGGAGCTGGCCGTGGTGCCTGTGTTTGTGGACCCAGGCGAGGAGTCGCACCGGCCCTTCGTGGTGGTGCAGGCCCGGCTGGGAGACAGCAGGCACCGCATCCGCAAGCGGGGTCTGGAGTGCGATGGCCGGACCAACCTCTGTTGCAGGCAACAGTTCTTCATCGACTTCCGCCTCATCGGCTGGAATGACTGGATCATCGCGCCCACCGGCTACTACGGGAATTACTGTGAGGGCAGCTGCCCGGCCTACCTGGCAGGGGTCCCTGGCTCTGCCTCGTCCTTCCACACGGCGGTGGTGAACCAGTACCGTATGCGGGGCCTCAACCCTGGCACGGTGAACTCCTGCTGCATCCCCACTAAGCTGAGCACCATGTCCATGCTCTACTTCGACGACGAGTACAACATCGTCAAGCGGGATGTGCCCAACATGATCGTGGAGGAGTGCGGCTGCGCCTGACCGCAGCAGGGCTGCGGCCGTGGGGGGAGGGGGCGTGGGGGGGCACGAGGGTGGGGCCCCTGGAAGGGCTTCTTCCAGCCCCTGTGGGAACCGGCTGCCCAGCCAGCCAAGTGCGGTCCTTCTGTCGGGCTGCCCAGCAGGTGCCAGGGTGAGGCCTGAAATCTTTTCCTACTACTTCATCGAGCAAATCAGTCCAAGCCAGAGCCCGGACGCTCAACTGACACAAGATACTTTCAAATGCACACGTAGATGCGCACAGCCAGACGCGTCCCGCCACCCACACGGCAGCCTCCGGGATACCAGCAAATGGATGTGGTGACAAATGGCAGCTTAGCTACAAATGCCTGTCAGTCGGAGAGAATGGGGTGAGCAGCCACCATTCCCACCAGCTGGCCCGGCCATTCTGAATCGCGCCTTCGGAGCACACATAAAAGCACAAAGACAGAGACACAGAGAGAGAAAGAGAGAGAGGGAGAGGGAGCACGGGAGCCACAGAGAGGAAAAGCAGATGCGGGGGTGGGGGGTGTACGGACAGGCAGGAGGGCTGTGTGTCCCCCTTTGCTTGTGTGCAAGGCCCGCCAGGCCTCAGCATCTCCTGGCTCAGACATGCTGGCTTCCTTCCTTGCCTGGGATCCTTCATGCTGCAGGACCAGGGGAAGCCTGGCTTTTCCCAGCCTTGTAGAGGGAAAGAGGCCTGGAATGGACACAACCTGCCAGAGACCATGGAGCCGTGGCAATGACCGTTTGACTGTCGCTTGGGTCCCTGGCGTGACTTATGTGTGTGTGTGTGTTGGGGGGAGGGAGGGAGGGAGAGGAGAAGGGTCTTAATTTGATGCTTTAACTGATCACTAGCAGTTGACAGACAGGTCACACATTCCAGTTGTATCCTTGAAAAGGGACTTTTCTACCAGGTAGGACCTTTTAAGTTAAGATTTGAATCATTTTACAAGGGAAGAAAAAAAAGTGGCAATCTGTGCCCTTCCTTGGGGATGTTCCTCCAGAACTGGTTGGGATAGGGGTGGAAATGACCCCAAGGCAAGGGAATGAGCCCAGAGGAGGAGGAAAGGTTGGAGTGGAGGCATTCTGGAAATGCTGGTAGGCATGGAGGGCGGTGCCCTCCCCCCACCCCGGTAGGGTTTGTGGGAGGGGAGCAGTGTAGCTGGACTGGGAGAGCCGGGGAAGGCTTTCAGCTGCTTTGCAGAAGTTACCCGCGTGGGTCCCAGCCACCAGGGCGGACCATGGACGTGCCCCCTGCCTCCCGCCTGCTTGCCTGCCTGCCCGCCCCTCCTAGCACTTGCCAACTTGCCTGAACGCCCGTGATCTTGCACTTGCCCATCTGCGTGTGTCCAGGAGTGGCCCTTGGCAGAGCACTGAACTCGCTCGCCCCCCAGAGGCCCAGGTGCCGCGTGAACTATGCAATTTAAAGGGTTGACCCACACTAGACGAAACTGGACTCGTACGACTCTTTTTATATTTTTTATACTTGAAATGAAATCCTTTGCTTCTTTTTTAAGCGAATGATTGCTTTTAATGTTTGCACTGATTTAGTTGCATGATTAGTCAGAAACTGCCATTTGAAAAAAGAAGTTATTTTTATAGCAGCAAAAAAAAATACAGTTAAATGTATTATACATAATTTTGGAACCAAAGAGGCCAACAGATCAGTTTTAATTTTTATTAGATGGTGAGGCCATCTTCTAAGAGGTAGACGTTCTGAACAATCCCTTGAGTGGCCTGCCAACGTTTCAGGGTATAAATGGATTTTGTTTATTCAGTTTGATGTGTCTTTTCTATCTTTACACACCCAGAAGGTACAGAAAAAAAAAATGACTATGGTAGAATGCAGGTGTGCGTCCTTAAATCCCCACCTTTATGTTTATTTAATAAAGCTCCCCTTAGGTTCTGTTTCATAATAATTTAAAACCAAACAATTTTCCCATAGACTTGCTGTTAAAGTATTTTACATCTGTGTACAGTTTAAGAAAATAAAAGATCGAGTGCCACGGGCTTCCTGCCTTGTGTGGTGTTGGGGGAGCCACGGCGGGGGGGGGGGCAGGGCGTGGGCAGGAGGCGGTGGCCGGGAGAGGGCGTGGGCTGGGTGTCCAGCTTTGATGCCCCTGGCCTCCACGGCTCGCTCCTGGCCCTCTCTGAGTCCTTGCCATGAGCACGGATGTCAGTCAGAGAGTCTAGGAAAGATGGCAGAAGATCAAAATGAAGGACAATTAGCAAATTCATGAATTACACATTTGTTTACCCTCCCCGTCCCAAGACTAATTATGTTCTACCAGACCCACATCTATTACCACTTGAAAGTACCCGTTAAGCCCACTCCCCCATCTCTGGAAGGAAATGTAAAACCTGGAAGGGAGAAGCCCACCTGACCGTACCCACCTCCATTCACTAATATGGGTGACTGTAACCCAGAAGAGGCTGGGATCCTAGGACAGGAGGGTGAAACAGAAATGAGGCCATCAGTATGCTGATTGTCCTTGCCTGCTGGGAGTTTAACTGGGAATAGGTAGTGGCAGTGGTTTTTGTAGTTACAGAGGTCCAGCCCTTATGGCAGGTAGGACTCGACAGACCCATGAAGGGCTGCCGGGTATCGTGCTTTTTTGGGACATGGTTTCATCATTTTCCAGAGCTTGGAATCTGAGGCTCAGAGAGGTTCAGAGCTTGCCTGAGGTCACAGAGTTGGGACAGGAACGCTGGGCACTAGAGGCCAAGTGCCCCAGCTGGCCCACCTATTCTGGGAAGACTGCAGTCCTAAGGCCGTGCCTTCATCTGAGTTCCTGGGGTTGCTCCTTGGTTTTTGGATCACATGTGGTCTTCCCAGAAAATCTCAGGACATTTGAGCAGGCAAGGTCTTACAGATTGGTCTAACCCTGTTAAGGTTACAATGGGAAAACCGAAAGAGGCAGCAGGCAGCGGGAGGGACATATCACAAGAGGCACAGCCCGCTGGTGGCAGGGGGTGGTATCCAGCTTCTGTTTCCATCCTTTGCCTATCTGAGGGAGCTACTGTTCTACCAGCCTTTTTTCCTGGGGACTGTATTTATTGATCTGCACGATCTTCAGACACTGTACAATCAATAGGGACAAAGAAGAAAATTTCATAAAGATAGGCTTGGCCTGGGCATTTGGGATGTAAGTTGGGATCCAGCTGCTTCTCTCCAGTGGGCTACATCTAGCTGCTGGTTGCTCTAGGCCGTTGGTTCAGCTGCTGCCCACCCCTGGCCCCGGAATCTTTGCTGGCAGCCTCTGGAGTGGGCAGTGTGAGTCACCAGGGTGCCTCTACTCTTAGGGATATTGAGTACCTCTGGGACCCACCTCTGGGACTGAGCTTCACAGGGTGGCCCATGGATCCCACAGTAGCCCCAGGAAGGGTCTGCAACTCAGAGGTCACAAGGTCAGTGGGCTCAGTGGTGCTCTGCTGCCCTTTGCTGGCAGGGGCCCCTGTGGGCTCTGGCCCCGCTGGGACAATGGCAGTTGGTAGTAACTTTTCCTGACAGGTGCAATGAGGACAGACAGGTCTGCTTCCTTGGGCCCGGGGCTAAGTATTCTTTCAGAGTTGGGATATGCTGCTTCTTTCCCATGCTTCTGTGGCCATAGGCTCCCCTGTTCCTTCCTTCTTACTCAGTTCTTGGTCCTTTTCTACCTACTGCCCTTTCCCATTCTCTGCCTCTGTCTTCCCAGTGGACCTGGCCTGAGGGCGCACTTCTCTCTGGGGTATGGCCCTGGAGCCCCACATTGCAGGCCAGAGAGTAAGCCTCTCACGCTGTCCTCCAGGTCCAGTGTCTCTGACCCTGGGCCATCCTGGTCTGTTTTAAGGTTCCTCTTCCTTCCCCTGGATCCCTATTTCCCTTCTTCAGACCACCAGGCTGTTAGCCTCTCATGCGACCAATGGGTTAGGCAGGGCCAGCCAGCCTATAAGACCTGCCTCAGATGTCCCCACCACCCACCCCCTGTGATTTGTGAGCTCCTACCGTGTCAGATTCATCCTTGGCTGAAGTCCTCAGTGACTCCGTGGAGCCAAGTCTGAGGTGGGGAATGGGGCACGGGGTGTGGTGGCCACACCCACCACCCCTCCGTTTTCCCCTATTTCCCAGATGGGCAGATGGAGGGTCCACTAAGCAGAGGCTCCAGGAGTATCCTATGCCTGTTTTCCCTCCCAGCCCTCTGAGAGTTGGGCTCAGCGTGGAGCACAGAGTGGGTCCCCCACTGCCCAGCCTGACGTGGAGGCAGCCTTTAGGAGGGCCTGTTGTGCGTCACAGCTTGTATCCATGGTCCTGCTACCGGGTATGACATCACCACTGCCACCGGTGCAAAGGCTGAGGGTCCATACCAAGGCCCAGGAGAGGGCCTTGGGCCGCTCTGGGACCGTGTCTAGGCCCCCGGCTCACTGGGCACTCAGGCTTGCCCAGCACATGCCTAGCATGCCCTCTGCAAGGCCCGGTGGGAATTCTTGCGGGGAACCCTGTGAAGAGCTTGGCAGAACATCCCTGTAGCTTCCTAGACTTCCTTCAGGGGCAGGAACAAGGGCGGTAGGGGTGCGTAGGCTGCCACCAAGTCGCGAAGACCACACTACAGGCCAAAGAAAGGATGCCGTGTGGGCAAAGGAGCAGAAAGCCAACGCCCTTCCTGCAGGCAGAGGCTCCCGGAGGACTCCTAACCCGTACTCAGCTTCTCTTGGGCTGTTTGGAGCCAACGACAAGTGACCCATGGGCCTGGCACGAGGAGCTGCGCCTGTTGTAGGTGAGTCCTGGGCTTGGGTCGGGCGGGTGTGGCAGGTTCCTGGAGCCCGTGGGCTGCATGGAGGCTGCGGGTGAGTGGTTGTGGGTGAGCTCGGTGGTGCGGGGGTGGGGGTGGGGGCGGGGAGAGCTGGGGGTGAGGTGGTGTGACTGCAGGTGTGACTCTACATGGGAGCCATGGGGGGTGCAACTGCATGTGCGATCTTGGGGCATGTGGTTGGCTGTGTCTGAGGCTGTGTGTGTGTGTGTGTGTGTGTGTGTGTGTGGTTGGGGGTGAGGC